ATAATAAATGCAATATGCTTATAAATAAAAGGAAAATACATTAGTGAAAACCACAAGGTATGTTTTTTGTTTACCTGAAATCACATTCCTGTTTTCGGAATATTCTTATAAAACCACCTTGTATGGCAGGATATTGAATGCATGGGTATCACTGTTTGCAATTTTTCTTAAGCAAAACAAAACTAAACACAAGAAAAGCACCGTGTGCCATTGCTTTCACTGATGCCCACCCACTAAGCTGGTTCAGAGGGCTGAAGAACATACTTTCATCCTCCTCCCAGCTCAGTCTCAGTGCTAACACAAATAAGGCAGGTTTGCCCTTATTCTTTCTCTGCCCTTTTAAAGATACAGAAATCTTTAGTACAACTGCAAATTCAAAATACTTTGTATCATTCTTCTTTCACAGGACTCTTCAAGTAGAGGTAGAAGGAAAAAATATACACTTAGTAGCACTATGACTGTCTTCCAAGATGAAAAAAAAAATCTTAAGTTGCCAAAAACACACCACAGCATGTTTTACTTTAAAACTTTTTTAACTATTATTTCTTTCCTCCAGCTATGTTCTGAAGATGACAGTGCCCATTTTCCCCTGGACAAATTCTATGGCTTTTTTTTTTGGTAGATCATCGATCTTATGAATATTTTCATAAACACTCAGAAATCATCAATGTAAAAATGAAATTAATTTGACATATTACAAATAAAATTTAGCAAACAGAAAAATCTTCAACTGCTTTTTAGTATAAAAAGCATGAAAAAGTAGACAAACCCAACAAAACCAGTGGTTGCCATTTCCATTTCCAACAATACAGCTCTTTTAATGACAATATAGCCTGAACTATAGAACCATAAACACAAGGGCTCACATTAACTGATGATTCTGAATATGCACTTCCCCCGTAAATTAAGGTATTCAATAAAATATGCAACCGTGGCAGCAGTTTTTCCAAAAAACATCTTCTGCCCTGTAAGACGAAGATTACTTTGGCAGGGTGGGGAGGAGAGGAGGAGTGGAGTAGATGATATTGGTGTAGTGGGTGGTTCCTGTCAGGGGCAAAAAGGGGATGGAAGAGAAATTTAACAGCATTGCTGGATATTTTTCATGTGTGACATGAGAGGGAAAAAAAAAACAAACCACAAAGAAACAAACTTCCCTGTTATATTAAAACGATTTGGTTTCATAACATCCAAAGCCATACCTCTGTACAGGGCACATAAGAAATGTGTAACAGCAATCTATTTTTAAGGTTTCTGCCAGATGGGTAAGCACCTCAAACACACCCACAGATACTAATGAAAACCACCTTGGCCTCCTTCAGGAAGTCATTCAACACTTCACAGAAAAAAATAGGAAGTTGTTGATAAACTGCTTGCAAGAACTACTTCCTGTAGGAAAAATAATTACAAGACTTGTTTGCTGGACAATCAGTTAACTTTTCCTCACACTGCAAAATGAGAAGAGGTATTACACAGAGGTATTGTGAGAATTAAAAACATAACACTAAGGTAAAACGATACAAGAGTAATTCCAAAATTGAGTGAAACTTATTTTTTCTTTCCGCAAGTTGTTGTCTGCTACTCTCATGGCATATTATCTTTTGCCTAGAGAGCGATCCCCTATCTTTCTCCATAGTTCACTGAAATGTCAACCAGCAGCTGGCTAACAGGAAGTGGTTAAAAAGCAATGCAGTTGACATCACCACACAAACCAAGCAAGTCTTTTTCACTGCATGTTTAAGAATGGGCTAAAGCATGCTGCACAGCAATGCTGAGATGACTCAGATGTGACCACTTACTAACCAGGCAAGTCTTAACTTACAAGCTCTATTTAAGTAACAGTTTCAGTAAAAAATACTATTCGTTTTACCAGCTGTATAGCAAGCATGTCTTAACTCACTGGCCAAAATCATCTGCGTTTTCACTAATGGAAAATTATACTCAGGAGTCCTACTCATAACAGTGAGATGAACGCTAATGAGTGAAATTCTGGCAAATCATATGTTGGGCATTCATACATAAAGGGGTTTATCTAGATGGCAGACTGATTTACAAGAGTATTTCTAGCTCAGACCCTACACTATCACTCTTGCCCTCTTTTAATATGTATGGATACATGTGGCGTGTATATAAAACATCTGGACAAATAACTTGGTGCATGTATCTATACATATAGACAAGTATTTTCTCTTCCATACACACCATTTTCATTTCTTTGCACAAACTACTATGGTTGCAGTGGTTGACCCACTGATTACTGGAAGTGCCTATATTCCGGACTGTATTAAGTACGGTACTTAATTTGATATTATTCTGTTTGCACTGTAGTATATTATTATAACTACAACCATAAGGCTTACTGACATCTGGAAAAGATCTAATACTGTTACCTATTCTGCAAAGGTCTTTCTAGAGCCTGATTACCAGACTGTTCATGGAGTGGCTACAGAACAGAGCAAATGGAAACAAAGAGCAATGCAGCCAATCCAACAAAAAAGCTGAATACTTGGAAGAGATACCAAAAATCTGCATATGGTAGAAGGAACCACATTAAATGTATTTAGCATCAGGAATCTTTGTACTCATGCTTCAAGCAAATTTAAGGTATAGCTAGACAAGATGTGAGTTTTAGCGGGCTTGTAGGTATGAGATAGAACTTATCACTCAACACTGAAAAAAGCTTCTGAAATACAAACTTGCTACTCAAAAATAACTCTTACATTTCTTTGGATTTCCTAAACATACAAAGCAAACATTTTGCTAGTACTCAAAATGTTTTTTACAAATCTTCACGAACTCCAATGAAAGTTGGTGGATCTCACCTGTAGATAGTATTAAACAACCTTTTAGGAACAACAAATGTTCTTCAAGTGTGAACAGAGCCTTCAGAACTGTCCTCATTAGACTCTCCCATACCACAGCATCACCCAAGGAAAGCCAAAAGAAAACAGCCCATTAAGCTGTTTAAAATCTCCCAAGGTCAGCATGTGACCCAGCAGGGAGAGGTTCAAAAAGTACAGCCTTTATTTTTCTTCCTAACAACCTGGTTTGTTTCCACTCCTTTCCCCTTCAAGACACATCCTTCACAGCTAGCAGCTCTTTCAATCATTTACTTTGGATGTCTGCTTGAGAACAAACGATCTTGCTCATGCAGATGAGTTTGCCAGACTTGTGTGTACTTTCCAGTCTCAGGCTCTTTATTGTTCTTGCTGAAACCTGACCCTTTGAAATGGATACCAGGACACCAAGAAAGGACCGAAAAACTTGCAGAAAAAAAAGGAAAAGATTTTTTGTGGTAATAATGAAACTGCGGAAAAGCTTTCCAAGAACAAATCTTTCACTCTGATTTCACCTGAATGAGCATAATTTAAAAAGTCAATTATAAGAGCGTGAAGACATTTTGCACCTCTTAAACTGTTCTACTTTCTGTAAAATTGACAGCGTTATGAAAACCAAACACTTGTGACAGTAAAACTTAAAAATCAAATATCTATTTTTCATGCTTCAGAAGCTGCTCTTTAAGAGCTCTCACCGGGCGGTCAAAATTAGGCACAGTCAAAACAAAGTTTGCTTTTCATTTCAAAACTCAGTCTGTGCTTTCCTCAAGGTCCAATGAGGTACAGTTCTCAAATGGCATAAACTTACAGTTCCAAAAAAATTCTATTTGTGCCCACTGAAGAGTTCACATTCTAGAATATGCTGATTTGTTAAACATCACCAAAGAATATATCACATCTTCAAGATCTACAGCTAACGCTCATTTTCACATTCCTAATACAGAATGATTGTTTTCAAAAAGTAACCTTCAGGCTCAAATAATGTCAGACAACTGCTGTAACCTCTTTTCAGTTAAAAAAAGCGACGCTAATTTCTCTGTATGGTAACAACATCACTATAGGAACAAAAAACAGTTTTAAAGTTCTGCAAGTTCCATTTTCATTGCAGACAATGTAAATGTGTTTTTGAAGCTACAAACTCTACTACTTCAATCAAATGCACATAGTAATGACAATGTTTTAGCAAGAATGGTAGGGATAAAGATGTTTTTCTTGGCTGAAATAAGTTTTACATAAATAACACAGTGCTGCCCCTCCCCTCTCCTAGCCCTGAAAATGACATATAATGGGTTACTTAAGAGACATGCAGTTAAATAAAATGTTCAAAATATGGTCAAAATATTTGAAGGCCAATTAGGTGTCTTGGTGGACACACTTTCAGAAATAACGACAAGCTCCTGCTGTTTTAGAAAACTACACAGCATAAAAAATGTTCCCCGATGGATTAGGTGTCAGATGGCTGGCATATGTAACCTCTTCAGGTACAGAAAAGGTGATACTAATTTCACTGTGTGAAAAAGCTACAGCTGCAGGAACAAGAAACAATGTTAGAAGTTCTGCAATTTCCCTTTCACTGCAGGGAATATAGGCAAGTTAAGAGTTACAGACCCAAATACTGCAATCACATATGTTAATTTCCTCATGAGAGTAGGCAAAAATGTTTTGATTGCATACTTACATAATTGTCCTTATTCAAGAAATAAGAAGTCCTGATACATTCTCACTGCAAGAGCTTCTAAAGTTACTCTGTATTTTTATCTATATATCATAGATCTCTATATATCATAAAAATGAGGTAAAATGTATTTTGACCTGCATAAGAACTCTGGCAAGGTTCAGCAAATCCAAAAGTCACATTGTTTAAAAATCACTATGTGCATTTCACTGTTTTTAAGTATACAATATAATGGATAACATTCTCCAGCTAACATTAAGATAGGGTAAATATTCACAGAGTACCATACAGTTTTCAGAAACAGCAGAGAGTCAATATGGAAGGCTGAAGCAGTAGGATCTCCTACTAAAATCAGGACCATGATTTTAAAAATATGTATTTTAAACACAATGAAATTTACTAAAATTCAAAGACTGTAAAAAAAACCCCAACAAACAAACAAAAAATAAATCTGCCAGAGATTCTGCTAACTGAAAACAAGTTTTACTTACTTAAGAAAGTATCTCTGTCCAGATGGTGTCTTAGCCATCTCCCAACCTGGTGGCAAAGGTACATCATCAGGGATCTCAAATGAAGACTGGCGGAGATGTTGAGAAGATGGAGCGCCAGGTCCAGTCACTACTCCAGAGGGTGTAAGCGTCCCTGGAGAAACAGCTCCCAGCTGCAGTGACGCTGGAGAGGAATGAGCTCGGACATGCTGTGGGGTCAGGGCTCCTGCTGTCCCTGCATCAGTGCTGGCCTGCCAGGAGTGAAATTATTCCCATTAAGATTCTTATATTTCAGTAGAAATGCAGCTGTAAGAAGACATTTCACTTTAAATGAACCTTTCAGAAGAAATTCATAAGTCAGTCATTCTAAAGTTCTGCTTATTTTCTAGTTGTTGCTGTTCCAAGAGAGCCTCCAAGTAGGTCGGTCAATTAGCATCACAAAAGCCCTTGTGTAAGTCAAGAAATATTAACTTTAAGTTATGTGCTAAGTGCCTTTAGTTTTATTTTGAAAACTAAAGTTCTTACTCCTTGGTGCAGGGTTAAGAAAAAAACATGCTCGCAGTCAGCAGACCTCATACAACATATTGCATGGTTCACTACTGGACTGCACCCACACATTACCATCACACCCACTTTCTCCTGGAGGAGTTAATTTCCCACTCTCCTTTTGAAATGGGAGGGGGGGGGGGGCAAGGACACCCACACTTACACCTTCTGCAGGGGTTTAAAAGATTACAGAAGGAGCAAAGCAACAAAGAAATGCCAACCGACAGCAACAGAGGAAGGCTCCTGAAATCAACCATAAAGAAACCCTGTACAACAAGACTGAACACAAAATTTCCTAACCTGCACAGAAACCACGATTTTAAGGGTATCAGGAGCTTATAAAGAGTCTGCCCAAGCTTCAGCAAACTGTTTAACCAGTCAATCAGAAATGACTCATAAAAGCGTTCACCGGTTACCAGTCATAAGTACATAGAACTTCCTTGCCAGTAATAAATACGTGTCCACCATGAAACAGAAAAAGCAGCTCTGAAAAACGGATTAAAGTAATATTTTTTAAATGTATTTACCAATTAATTGACTTTGTAGATGCACCAGGACAACATGGACACCTATAAGAAGACGCATTTATCAGCCCTTGCCACACCTCTCTACACAAGGTATTGCACCATACACGAGGCCCCACTTACACACTCTTACGGAGACTGACAATTCTGTTTCACGATATCTGTATGCAAGCACATGTGAAGTTTCATATATTAAACTGGAAACGAATTAGCCTACATTTAAACAAAATACGCAAGTTGCAAATCAACTGAATTTGAGGCATTTTAATTCTTGAAAAATGGGGAGAATTACAGAAACTTACAGAGTTTTTCTGTTAAACAGCATATTTTTGTGGCACAACTAAACAAAAAGGAAAAGCAAAACAGTCTTATTTTAAAAGACAGTCTGCAATGAAGCAAATGATTCTCTGGCTTTAGCTGGATTTCAAGTTTATGTTTTAAGAACCACTGACTCGTACAAGGAACAGTGATCCAACTAAAGATGCATTACAGATGAAAAGTAACATACACAAGCAAGGTAACGCTAACCTTAAAAGTACAACTCGTATGAACGTCACACATTAAGTGCATTTCAAACGTGATAGCTATTTAACTGCAGTTAGTGTATTTAACAAGACACAGCACCAAGTGTTAGCTGAATGCGTATAGCAGTTCACATTTGTGTACTGCGATAAGATTTGCACAACTTAGAAAAAACTATATATAATAACCTTATTCCTCGCTGGATTTCAGTATGTTATTAAAGGTCTGCAACTCAGAAGCAAGCAAAACTACAGAAGCAACTCAGCCCCACCCCTTTCTATTTTCTTTCCAGTCTTGCAATACGAAGGCCGGACTGATTTTTCGAGTATTTGGAAAATGAATTAACTCCTAGGCTGAGAGAGTACGTGCCAAGGTTCAGCCTGGAGTGAACTTCTGAAGCCAAGTTATAAATCCTTCAAAACAGAAGTTTAATAATGGAAACGCTGACAGACCCTTAACAACACGAGTACCAGGCACCAGTACACAGAGCAAGTTTCGCTCCTACTGGCTACGCAGATAAAGTGACAATAGCCAATAATAAAACCTATTTTATAGCTTAGCAACAAAGTTCATTACTTCGTAAAGCACTCGAGCAGGCACAGCCTCCTTCCAAAAAGTTGGCAACAGCGGCCTAAACATTAACTTTCAGTCCTATCCGCACCAACACCTCGCTCTGGGCACCGAAGTCACTCTGCCTGAAGACCGAGCGCTCCCGGAGGCCG